GTAGCTGTGGTTCAAAAAGTGCTTGGAGGGATGTGTTTGTCTTTAGAATATTACTGTCACCTCTCTAGGATGATGCTAAACTGAGATACTAAAAGATTGCCAAGATTGTAAAGAACCCGAGAAACCAAATTCTCATCTCTCACTGTAGAAAGGAGACTCCTGAGCTCAAACAACTTATCCACATTTACTCGTCACTCACACTATTGATGGCAGGATCCAAGCAGAATTACTTCCTGATTTCTTCCGGTTGTTTTTTTTCATTACCATATTTGAAATTTTTAAATTATTTTTCTTCATTTTTACACACATATTTTCTCAATCATGGGCCAATAGATAAATGTGTGAATTAATACTTCCAGGAAAAAAAAATTGCTTTTAGTCTTTAATTTAATTCAAAACCCTGAAAATTAAGTAATTTCATGTGAACATTAACCGGTTTGTATGCAACTCATTTGTGAGATGACTAGAGGCTACTATGAAGTAAGTTAGCTTGGATTTTAACCCCTGATTCAATTCTTATTGCGTGGGTGATTTTGGTAAAGGTAGTTTAACATTTCTAAACCCTAGTTTCTACATAATTTAAATGAAGATGAGGTATGTTAAAATACAGAATGATTAGATTTCATATTTAAAATATTTGTTCCTATCCCTGACTCACAGTATAGACTCCATAAGTATTAAAAAAAAAAAAAAAAAAAAAAAACAAGAAAGCAAAAACTGTTTTTGAATGTACTGAGGAAAGCAGTCTTCAAATTCTACCCTTCACTTAGAACTCAATTTCATTCTAAATAAAAACCACATAAGCTCTGGAATATAAACAGTGTCATGCCAAATTCTTACCGCCAACTTTATGAAATCATATTGCCAAAATTGGGATCTTCTAAAACAATCTTCTGTCATTGTGGTCCTAAAAACTGCTGAACAGCTACAATGCTGCTGGGCAGGGAGAATTTGAAAGATTTATCTTTCCCTCCACATGCCGTGTTTTCAGAAGTCAGTTAACTTTTGCTAACTTAGAACCTATGCCAAAAATCAGTTGTGTCATTATTTCATAAGGCACAATGAATAAATATGTGTGATAGAAAAAGTCACTGATTATAGATTTATGCTTACATTGTAGAAGAGCTTGACTACTTTGTGAGGGAAGGTTGCTACATTTTAATGGAAATTTAAAAATATTTGAAAATGACTGTCCATGTAAATGCAGCACATCAAAACTTGTGAAGATTTATATTTGAGAAAAAATGAATACCAAAATTTAATGAGTTAAATATTCTATACTGGACAGTGCTGCTACATCTGAAGCATAATATAGGATCATTAATTGATGAACAATGTAGAATGGAAAACAATAATATTTAATTCAACTCAAAAAGTATTTATTGAGCCCTTATGTGGGGCTTATCTCTGCTTGATTCTGTGGATTCAAACCTTCCCAGATCAAAAGCCTATAATTCTGTGATTTCAAATTATACATATATTTGTTTATTGTTTTCATAAAAAAACAATGATAGAAGAAATTAAAATAGTAAATAAAATATCATAAAAATGCAAAAAAAAAAAAAAAAGAAGAAGAATTGAAAAGAGTCAACAATTTGGCCAAGCTTGGTGGCTCATGCCTGTAATTCAAACACTCTGAGAGGCTGAGGTGGGAGGATCACTTGAGCCTAGGAGTTCGAGACTAGCACTCCAGGCTGGATGACAGAGCAAGTCCCTATCTAAATAAATAAATAGAGTCAACAATGTAAAAGAAGTGTTTTTTGTAAAAAGCTATTGAAATAGATTTCTAGCAAAACTAAACAATGAATATAATATGCAGAAATCAATAATACTGGTATTTAAAAACCAGCTAATATATAAATTTCTTTAAACACTTAGAGAAAAATACTATGAATTTGAAAATTTAAAGTGGAAATTTTCCTATTAAAGTTTTGACTCAGTTGTGAAAAATCAATCTGTAAGTTCAGTAAATAAAAGATTCAGAGTAGTTTAGAGAAGTTTCTACTTTCTAATCAATGAATAGCTAATCTCAATATTATCCAAAATCTTATAGAAACTGAAAAAAACTATCCTGTATCCCATTATCTCAAGAATTAGATGCTCAACTAAATAAACTTACCAGAATCTTCTGTGTAACTAAATATGCAATACTGTACATCTCCCAAGTTATCTGTATGGAAGAATTTTAAGCTGGAAGAGATATTTCAGAGGAGAAGACTTTTTCCCTATGCATTTCAACTCAGAGCCTGAGCATACAGCTAACTCTTCCACCTTTGACTAATACAGTCATTTATCATTGTTGTCCTAAAGACTTCTAGGCAGTCACAAACCTGCTGGGCAGAGGTAATTCAAAAGAATTGATTTTCATTCTGCATGCTGTGATTTGAGAAATCAGTGTGCTTTTGCTAACTTAGAAACTATGCACAAATTGGTGGCTTAAAACAAGCCTGCAGGTAGGCTGGGGTAACACTTGGAATGATTCAGCTCAGCTAGCATGAATGGTCTGTGATGGCCTTGTAGCTTGTCAGCTGGCAGAATGGTTAAGCTTAGCTGGGTTGGCTTGTCTATGCTCCACGTGTTCTTTCACCTTTCAGGAGGCTTGTCTATGATTCTGCACATGTTAGTCCCCAGGTTCCAAAGAGCAGCAAGAGACAGATAAAGACAAATGTGCAGCACATTGCAACTCTTACTAACCGAAGAAAGTTGTCAGACCAGTCTGGAGTCAGTGTGTGGCAGGGGACACTGCCAAAGGGCACAGATGGGTGAAGGGAATATGTCAAATAAATACCATATATATATATATCAAAGAGCAAAATGGATAATATTTATTAAATATTCTACTAGGACTAGTAGATGAAAAAATACCCAGTCTCTAGACAAGAGCACTGTGTACATAGTCACTGTTGGATGTGTTGATTTCACACCATCTATTTCAGTTTAATTCAAACAATTCACTGATGATTTGTGCTCTAATGTATATAAGAAATGGTTAGATATATTTATGGTATTCGATGAGTCTGAAATTAAATTGAAACAAGATACCACCATTTGAAAAGTTTAAAGAATCCTCAGAAAGCATTAAGTGTTCATAAGTTGTTGGGGGAAGGGACAGAAAATTCTTGATTGACGAGGTGGCACTTGGGCCAGGCCTTGAAGAATAAGTAGAAATTTTCTAGACAACAGGAAAATTGGAGTCCTTCCTGGTGAGAAGAACAATAAAGTAAAAGTTGTGAAAGTGGAAGTGATCTTGTTATAAGTGGCAGATTTGTAGTAAACTGCCCTGACATGCCGCATGGTGGGGAATGGGAGTGCAGTGGGTTCTGTGTCAGATTATAGAAAACCAGGCTTTCTATTTTCTCCTGTCACTTAGACTAGAGCTGATGCTAAAGGCCAGAACCTCACTTCTCTTCCCTAGTTTTTTTTTTTTTTTTCCCAAGTATGTTAACCACAGCATCAAACAATGAAGCAGGTTGAAAGGATAGGTAGTAACAAAACTGCTTAAATGAGTTTATTTCATATTAGGTGATATTTGACAGCATCCAGGATACATGAATCTTTTTTCTATTTATCTCACCGAGTGCCAGATTGTGTGATAATATATGCAGAGGAGATGTTCTATGCAAATCACGTTCCATATTGCTATAAGACTTCTGCTCCCACATGCTATACAGGGCGCCCTTCCACACAACCACTCCAGCTGAACTGAGCTGGCCCATGTGGAACTAATAGACTCCTTCTTTCCATCTTTCAAAGCAACAAAACCTTACACTACAAGGGCGGAAAGGCTTATTTAACTTTGTTCTTCTAGACTTTCTAGATCTCACCAAATCTCAGCCAATTCTAAACTGCATCGAAAGGGTCTTCCAAGTGTAAAAGCATCCCTGACTTCTGCATTCCCTATGCCTTCTAAGGACAGGTTCCCACCCAGCTCCCTACCATTTTCACAAAAACAGAGTAGATATTCCTGTGAAGAAATAGTCTAAAATTATGGTCAGTCCCAAGGGTATAAATTATTATTATTTTTTTATTTTTTTGAGATGGAGTCTCACTCTTGTTGCCCAGGCTAGAGTGCAATGTACATACTTGGAGTCCAGGTACGATCTCTGTTCACCGTAACCTCCGCTTCTGGGGTTCAAGTGATTCTCCTGCCTCAGCCTCCCAAGTAGCTGGGATTACAGGCATGTGCCACCATGTCCAGCTAATTTTTTTTTTTTTGTATTCTTAGTAGATATGGGTTTTTTCCATGTCAGTCAGGTTGGTCTCGAACTCCAGACCTCAGGTGACCCACCTGCCTCAGCCTCCCAAGGGTTTAAAATCTTAAGCGGACTCAGCAGGCAAAAATTCAAGCTTTTGATCCTGTATCATATTTTCTAGTATTAAGATACACATGCACTTGGGCACAGTTCATGTACAGCAATGTTTCTCCTCCATAGGGGAGGGGTGAGATGAATGTGATCCTTAGAGTCACCTAATAGCTAAACGGGGCAGTTAAGACAAACCTTAAAGACTAGATGGTTTACAGTGTTGACTCAAATCCCTCTTTAGGGAATCTTCCCTGACTCTCCAAAGTATGAAGAGAGGAAATTATGACTTGTCTTCTGAAAACACATTCCTTGTGATCTCTGCCTTCTGCTTCTCTTGAGAACATGAGGCTAAGAGTTCCTATCAAAATAGAGATCCTCTTCTTCATTCTATTTTTTCCCCTAAACCAGTAAATTTATGCTTATCTGTAGAACAATAAGCAAGGGCCCAATTCTCTGGTACTTCTACAACAGAATGCAGCTATCTTACATTTTAAATTCAGTTGAGAGGAAACAGAAAAGGAATGCATTCCTCAACAGCGAGACAAAAAGGACCATAACACTTCCACAATAAGAAAAGCACTGGAGTAGGTTCTTGTTAGCAGGACACATCTATCACCTGGGGTCTGTTTTAGAATGCTATGTCTTCCTCGGAACTCATCCTTGCCCCCAATACTTATAAACCCTTTTTGTACTTACAAACAAGCTGATCATAGTGCTCTGTCAGTATCTGTGCGGCAAGAGCATAATCAAGTTTCTAGACTGTTTACCAAACTTGTCAAGTCAATATGTAACCTCAATGGACATCATTCAGTTACTGATCTCTAATCCTTAGTCCTTCTGTGACTTTCACGTCTCTGGCCATGTGCTGCAGACTAAGAACTTGCTCTATATTGGATCTGAAAGACAGGTTGAAAAGGGGAAGACAATTTAAGTCACTGGGGTGTTTGATCATTCATTTTATAAATAAATGGGAAATTTAAAAAAAAAACTTAAAAAAAACACAGTTTTTGTCTTCATCTTGAAAGCTGTGTATTTTTAAAAATTCAGTCATTTTTAAATGCTGTTGGACAAGAAGAGGAGAATAAAGTCGACTAAATTGTTGTCAACATAGTTCTTTTCTGTTTTGATGAAGCAGATTAAGGATAAATTGAGAAGGTTTGATGATTTTAATGAAACAAAATATAAAATATTGTGATTCCAGATTGTGTGGATCACATAATGTTATTTGGTGGTTTGAAAGAGGAGAAAAGAAGAAAATCTCACAATACTGTTTAGAGCCTTCTTTCTCAGCAAGTTAAATTGTGTTCCTCCAAAAAGACAGAGGGAATGATGTAATGATGTCATCAAATACCAGGATTTTAAATTGCTTCCATGACAAGAGGTTTGACAGCTCCAAATGAGACTATAATTTTGTAATTTATGGTGTTTCTTACAAAAGCTAAGTAATAACAAGTAACAGTCTAGACTAATTGTAAATGGCATTTGTCTTCTAAATACTCAATTAGAATCATGAGATATGAGGGCTGTGATGTGAAAGGAAATGCCTATATAAGAAAGTAACATTTTATTAAGGTTTAATGTACTTTGTCATTTTAGTTCACTTTCTTACATTTTTAAATACAGTATATTTCTTAGAAGACATATTATAATATGCTAACTCTTTACTAAAGCCTTATTAATATTAACTAACTGATTGCAATATTTGAATTTATTTTCCCTTCTGCAATTCATTTTATCTTCTCCATGTATTCAGTATTTCTAATCTCTTTATCTGGATTTTGCCTATGCTGTTTCTCAATCAAAAATGTTCTTACTTATGGCCGGGCATGATGGCTCACTCCTGTAATCCCAGCACTTTGGGAGATAGGGGTGAGTGCATTACTTGAAGTCAATAGTTTGAGACCAGCCTGGCCAAAATACTGAAACCCTGTCTGTACTAAAAGTACAACATTTGCCAGGAGTGGTGGCACATGCCTGTAGTCCCTGAAGTCCCAGTTACTCAGGAGGCTGAGGCAAGAGAATTGCTTGAACCTGGGAGGTGGAAGTTGCAGTGAGCTGAGATTGCACCACTGCACTACAGCCTCGCAGTCAGAGTGATTGTCTCAAAAAAAAAGAAAAAAAAAAGTTTTCACTTCTTTCTAATGATGAACTAACCACTTTGTATATTTCTTTCCAATCTTCATTCTTCACAAATTTTCCTTTTTATGGTGAATCATCACAAAGCCATGCTGCTTTCTTAATGGTCAAGTCTAAAGACATTTTTTAATTCCTCATTCTCTTTGCACTATCTACATTTTAAGGTGGTTGTCACCTTCTCAATTTTAAAATTATCTTTCCCAGTGACTTTGGTTATAGGCATTTTATATGGTGTCTATCTGCTTTCACACTAAACAGTCCGTTTTATGTGCCAACCCCAAGGGCTCTGTTGAGTAAGCATCTGTGTTTTATATTCTTTGATGTTAACCCTTCAGGTACCCCTGATTAGCTCTAAGATAGATATTTCTCCAAATAACAGCCAATAAACTAGTTGGCAAGTGACTTGTGACACATAACTTGCTATAAAAAAGAAAAGTTGAGAGAGGGATATGCATTTGAGTTATAGCCTCTTAAACCAAGAACATAAACAGACTGAACTAGTTAGTAGAGGTTGAAACTGAAAAACCATAATGAAGACATTTGAGGCAGCCTTGATAACCAAATGGTAAAGAAGATTATGAGAAATTAGAAAATATGAGTGAACAGAAGCAGACCACTGAAAGGGTGAAACAGAATAACAGAGCATGTATACAGAGAGAAGATGTAATAAAAAAGGAGACAGTATATTTCATTACAAGAGCTGATCTTTTTACTGTTTTTTTTTTTTTTGCCCCATTTTTAGTTTCAGTTTATACATGAACTTACTCTATGTTTTTGGATGATTTTTTTTAGATAAATGGTAGGTCTGTGTCCTTTGGAATGTCCTTTGGAATGAAAGGCAGACTCTGTGATAACACATAATTGTGGCTATTCTCTCTTCTTTCTCTACTTCTTCCTGTCCATTTTCTTTTTTTTTTTTTCCAAAGCCACAAAATCAGTAAAAAGTCTGAACAAACACCTCACCAATGAAGATGTACAGATATCCAATGAGTGCAAGAAAATACGTTAATCATTATGTGTCATTATAGAATTGCAAATTACAACAAGAAGGAGACATCACTATACACCTACTAGAATGCTTAAAATTTAAATACTGACAAGATGGAATGCTTGCAAGAATGTGGAGCAGCAGAAACTTCCATTCCTTGCTGATGGCATAGAAAACGGCACACCACTTAGTAAAGCAGTTGTTTCAAAAACTAAACATACTCTTACCATGTGATCCAGCAATTACACTCTTGGTATTTATCCAAATGGCTTGAAAACTTGTGTCCACATAAAAATCTGCACACAAATGATTATAATAGCTTTATACATACTCTCCCACCAGGCCACCAAGATGTGCTTTGGCAGGAGAATAGGTAAAGTGTGGTTCATCCATACAATGGAATATTATTCAGTGATAAAAATAAATGAGTATCAATGCACAGAAACACATGGAGAAACTTTAAATACATATTGCTTAATAAAATAAGAAAGACTACAAATAATTAAAATTAAAAATAATTAAAATTAAAAATACATTATGATTTCAACAGTATGACATACTGGAATAAGCAAAACTATAAAGACAGCTAAAAAATAATAAATAAATAAACAGCAGTAATTGCCAGGGGTTTGAAAAAGATGGAATGAATAAAGAGGTGGGGCCCAGAGAATTTTTAGGGTAGTAAAACTATTCTGTCTGATCCTATAATGGTGAATACCTGGCTTTATATATTTGTTAAAACTCAGAACAGTAGAGTGAACCTTTCGGCTTGGAGGTCTGTTCCAAGATGGCAAAATAAGAACAGCTCCGGTCAGCAGCTCCCAGCGTGATCAACACAGAACATGGGTGATTTCTGCATTTCCAACTGAGATACCTGGTTCATCTCACTGGGACTGGTTGGACAATGGGTGCAGCCCACGGAGGGTGAGCTGAAGCAGGACAGGGCATTGCCTCACTCGGGAAGTGTAAGGGGTCTGTAAGGGATTTTCCTGTACAAGGAAAATCGGGAGACTGCCCCTGATTTTCCAACATTCTTAGGAAACAGAACACCAGGAGATTATAACCCACACCTGGCTCAGCGGGTCCCACGCCCACGGAGACTTGCTCACTGCTAGTGCAGCAGTCTGAGATCAAACTGCAAGGTGACAGCCCAGCTATGGGAGGGGTATCTGCCATTGCTGAGACTTGAGTAGGTAAACAAAGTGGCTGGGAAGCTCGAATAGGGTGGAGCCCATGGCAGCTCAATGAGGCCTGCCTGCCTTTGTAGACTCCACCTCTGGGGGCAGGGCATAGCTGAACAAAAGGCAGCAGAAACTTCTGCAGACTTAAACATGCCTGTCTGACAGTCCTGAAGAGAGCAGTGGTTCTCCCAGCACTGTGTTTGAGCTCTGAGAATGGACAGACTGCCTCCTCAAGTGGGTCCCTAACCCCTGTGTAGCCTGACTGGGAGACACCTCCCAGCATGGGCAGACTAACACCTCATACAGCTGAGTGCCCCTCTGAGATGAAGCTTCCAGAGGAAGGATCAGGCAACAATATTTACTGTTCTGCAATATTTGCTATTCTGCAGCCTCTGCTGGTAATACCAAGGCAAACAGGGTCTGGAGTGGATCTCCAGCAAACTCCAAAAGACTTGCAGCTGAGGGACATGACTGTTAGAAGGAAAACTAACAGACAGAAAGCAATAGCATCAACATCAACAAAAAGCAGATGCACACCAAAGCCCCATCTGTAGGTCACCATCACCAAAGACCAAAGGTAGACAAAACCACAAAGATGGGGAGAAACCAGAGCAGAAAAGCTGAAAATTCTTAAAAAACCAAAGTGCCTCTTCTCCTACAAAGGATCGCAGCTCCTCGCCAGCAATGGAACAAAGCTGGATGGAGAATGATTTGACGAGTTGACAGAATAGGCTTCAGAAGTTCAGTAATAACACACTTCTCCAAGCTAAAAGAGGATGTTCAAACCTATCACAAGGAAGCAAAAAACCTTGAAAAAAGATTAGATGAGTGGCTAACTAGAATAAAATTAAATAAATAGAGAAGACCATAAAGGACCTGATAGAGCTGAAAACAATGGCACAAGAACTACGTGACACATGCACAAGCTTCAGTAGCTCATTCAATCAAGTGGAAGAAAGGGTATCAGTGATTGAAGATCAAATGAATAGAATGAAACAAGAAGAGAAGTTTAGAGAAAAAAGAGTAAAAAGAAACGAACAAAGCCTCCAAGAAATTTGGGACTATGTGAAAAGACCAAATCTATGTCTGATTGGTGTACCTGAAAGTGGCGGAGAGAATGGAACCAAACTGGGAAACACTCTTCGGGATATTAACCAGGAGAACTTCTGTAACCTAGCAAGGCAGGCCAACATTCAAATTCAGGAAATACAAAGAACGCCCACAAAGATACTCCTCGAGAAGAGCAACCCCAAGACACATAATTGTCAGATTCACCAAGGTTGAAATGAAGGAAAAAATGTTAAGAACAAGGTCGGATCCCCCACAAAAGAAAGCCCATTGTGCTAACAGCGGATCTCTTGGCAGAAACTCTATAAGCCGGAAGAGAGTGGGGGCCAATATTCAACATTCTTTAAGAAAATAATTTTCAACCTAGAATTTCATATCCAGTCAAACTGAG